ATATACTGTATATACTGTATATACTGTATATACTGTATATACTGTATATACTGTATATAAGTGATTTTGTATTATAATATAAGCTACTATATAATCATTATTTGTAACTATTTGTATACTAAAAAATGCTATAAATAAATACCACAATGTTTTTTTRTTGTTGTTATAATACTATACAATATAATAGTAAATGTAAACATTACACACAAAAACTTTTAATTTTATGTCTATTTTGTGGAGAAAAAAAAATAAATGAAAAATATTTATAATTAAATTTTTAAATTAACTCAACAAATAACATTTATTTATATTATTCAAATAGTTTAAATGTAAAATTTAATAAACTAAATTTAAACTAAATAAATTAAATATTAAAAAAAATTTTTACTAAAAATTTAAGTAACTATTTTTAATAAAATTATCAAAATTTTGATATTATTTTTATGCACTTTGATTTTAATGCAGTTTTATTATATAATATTTTCTTAAAAGACTATAATATTTAAATAACTAACTAATTAATTATATAATTATTTAGATTTATTTGAATAATTAATGTTATTATAAACCAAATCATTTATTTAATTATTTAAAAAACTTTGCAAAATATACGGCAATTTTTTAAAAAAAAACTAAAATATAGTTTATAAATCATAATAAAAAACGAGTATTTTATTAAATAAAATTTAATAAAGTATTTATAAATTTTAGTAAATAATATATATATATTTACTGATATATCATATATATATCTTAAGTTTTTTTTATAGTTTTTTTTAGATAAAAGTTTTCTTTTAAAAGTCAAACACTTAATGTTTTATTCATTGCATTAATTGATGTGACATTTGCTATAAAAATGTGAAAATCGTGTTAAACAGTGAAGTAGTCTTTTGGGGATAACATTGCAAACAATTTTTTTTATATATATATATTTTGTGTTAAATGTTTGTATACAGTCAAGAGTCAGTCAATAGTCAAATAAAATTAGACAAACTATACAAATGTGTTGAACATAAATACTTTTTTAATGTCAATACTATATATGATATGATCACCGGATAGTCTAAACAAATAGTRTATATATATATACAGTATATATATATATATATATATATATATATAAAGTATTGGCAAACAAAATGGGGCAAAAAAATAATTGCAATGTTTGTTGTCTCTTAAATATGTGATGGTTTGCAATGTATTTTTGTTTGATTGAAAATTTAATTGCAATTCTCATTGTTTTTTTTTTGTATTTTATATAAATTTTACACAAAAAAAACTTGTATAAAAATAATTTTAAATTAATTTAATTTTTATGTTACTGATTGTTATATTACCGAATATATATATTATTTATAAATATTTTTATGTTAAATAAATTTATAATTTCAATTTATCCTGTGGCTTTAATAATAATAATGAATTGTTTTAGCTAAGTATTACAAATTAAATTATATTTAATACAAAAAAAATTAATATTTTTTAGTTTATTTAATAATTGCAATTGCAACTTAAAATTTTAATCCAATGTTTAGATACTGTAATTTAATTATTTAATTAAATAATATTATAATTAATTTTAAACTATTTATAATTTTTGAGTTCCATTACACCAAAAGTATATTTTTCTAATAAATATATAATATTTTAGATATTTTAGAAATTAATAAAAAAATTGTAAATTTATATTAGCTCTAAATAAAAATAAATTGTTTAGTAGTTTCTAAAATTTAAAAAAAAAATAAAAATAAACATTATGCAATCGACTAATATTTTTAATAAAATAGTTAGCATTTAATCTAAAAAAAACTTATTTATTATTGTTTTGAATTCAATTATTTCAAACCAAAAAAAAATTTTTTTATGCATTAAATCAAAACTTGCAAAAGGCGTTACACACAAAAGCATAGAAATTAAATAAAAAAAAGAAAAAAAAGAGGAATAAAATTATTAGTCTATAAATTGTTACATAAATTATTTGTAACTACAACTCTCTCTCTCTCTCTCTTTCTCTCTCTCTCTCTTTCTCTCTCTCTTTTTTCTCTCTCTCTCTCTCTCTCTCTCTCTTTCTTTCTCTCTCTCTCTCTCTCTCTCTCTCTTTCTCTCTCTCTCTCTCTCTCTCTCACTCTCTATGATTGACTGTATTGAATATACAGTGCATTTGACATCAAAAAAATAAAGCCAAACATTAAAAGTCAAGATTAATGATGAGTTAGAATAAAATAATAATAATGTTTTATATATAAGGTTTAGTCAATGGAAAGTGTTGGCACACATACTGTATAATATTGTACTAATATAGTACTGTACTATACTAAGCACTGGTAGTTTCTAATATTACAGGTTCACATAACTTTCCAAAAACATTTAGTCCTCCTATTTGTTTCCAACTCATTAACTGTTTCCCCGATTGCATAGTACAACCAAATCATATGTTAATAATTGATTAATTTTTGTTTTCAGTCGAAAATTTATCACAATATTGTTTGCAAATAACTATAATATGTTTTTTGCATATATAAGTTTATACATAAATTTTAATCTAAATTATTATAAATTACAGTATACATATATTCTGCTATTTTTTTTATTTGAAACTATTAGTTAATTATTATTGTTAAATAAAAATATACTAAACAATAAATATTTTTGTTATTTTATATCTAACACAACACACACACACACACTTATATATGCATATATATACAGTATATACACACAATATATGCAAATTTATATCAAAAAATTATAATTGATGTGTTTTTTATTTAAAACTATTTAAAAAAAAGTAAATGTAAGTTTGTATTGATTAATAGCAATTTTTTTATTATATTATATACATACAAAATAAAAAATTTAATTTATATATATATATWTATATATATATACTTATATATAAAAAATAGCCAAACATTAAGTTACTGAGACACTCAATGTAATCAACACATTATGTATTACTAGTATTTTTTTTTATTTGTAAACTATATTATTAATTTGTGTAATATATCACATATACTTAAGAAACATAACATAAAGAAAATAGTTATAGACTATAGTAAAACAAAAACAAAATAGATATTTTAATTAATTGCAACAAAAAATAAATAAGTTATTTTTTAGTTGTTTATAATTTTGAAACACTGTATTACTGTAATTACATTGTTTTTTTTAATAATGTATTTACCAAAAATAATAATAATAATAATAAATAACTAATTTTCTTTACTAATTAATTAGTTGTCATTTACACCCAACAATAACAATAACAAAATTAATTAAAATAACAAAACAATAATTATGTACTAAAATATTGAGGTTTTAGTGATAATTAAATTATTTAATTAATATGAGAATTTATAAATATTATTATATTTTTTTTAAAAAATGTAATAATTTTATTAACTTATAATCATTATTAACATTGACATAAAGTGTAGCAATAGTTATACACATACACATACACATACACATACACATACACATACACATACACATACACATACACATACACATACACATACACATACACATACACATACACATACACATACACATACACATACACATACACATACACATACACATACACATACACATACACATACACATACACATACACATACACATACACATACACATACACATACACATACACATACACATACACATACACATACACATACACATACACATACACATACACATACACATACACATACACACATAGTTTAAATATAACTTACAGTTCACTTTAAATTACAAGTCATTAGTAATAGTTGTTTAGAAAATAATGTATTAAACAATTTATCACAATTTTTTTTTGTTATAATACAATAAAAACTCATATACCATTATACAGGTATATTATTATTATTATTATTTAAACACTAGTTTTTTTATTAACAGTAATTTACCAGGTTAAATTGCATTAAATAATAGTATTGAATGAGAGAGAGAAAAAACAATTAATAATTGATGTTTTTTTCTTACATTCACTAACATCTAAGCTAAATATATTACTCTCTTTCTCTCTCTCTCTCTCTCTCTCTCTCTCTCTCTCTCTCTCTCTYTTTCTCTATCTCTCTATATATATAAATTTATTGTATTATACACTTACCTGATGTGTGACTCAAAACATCATAATAATAATAAACGTACAAAAAAATAGTTACAATAGTTTTTATATAAGCGTATTATAACTACTGTATTATTATTATTATTAGTATTAGTAGTAATATAATTGGATACTAGGGTTGCTGTTGTTGTTGTTGCTATTGTTGTGGAAAACTTCATTAATAATAATAATAATAACTAACAAAACAAAATAATAACTCAACAAAAATAATTGTCTTTTAACTTACACAATGTTATAGTGTATGTGTGTGTTCACAAAATTTTATTACTATTATTATTATTTTTGTTGTTGTTGTTAATGTAGAAAATAAAAATAGTTATCACAAAATTAATAAACTATAATAATAATAATTACTTATTTTAATAATATTATTATTATTTGTATTTTATAATAAAATAATAAAAATAAAATCATTAATTAATTACGTTATGTTCTAAAACAAGTACATAATTAATGAAAATATTTTTTTTAATATATTTAATATATTTAATTAATTAATTAATTAATACTATAAATATTGAAAAATAATTAATTAATTTCAAATAATCACTTATTTATTTACAAATTACTGTTTTTTAGTCAATACAAATTAGCTAAAAAAATTTATTTATAAATGTAAATTTGTTTTTTTAACAATTAAAAATGTATGATTTACAGTATAATTTATATTCAACAATTTAAATATAATAAAATTTAATAATAAAATGTGTAAATAAGTGTTTTGTAAATATACATGTAAATTTGGCACAAATTTATTTATTTTTATTTTTTTGAATTTATTGATTAAAAAATATAAATAATTTTCTTAAATAATTAATTAATAATATTAATTAATTTTTTAAAAATAATTATTTGTTTTAAATTTTTATACCCATTTCGGTGGAAACGGCTTTTCGTAGACGTGTTCGCGTGTTATCGGCTGACGTCCCGGTGTTTGTGTAGTGGCACCGGTTGATGACATATAGCTCAGGTCGTCCACATCGCTAGTCTCGATACCGCCGGAGCCGTCAAACGGTACACACATTTTATGATCGATACGGGACAAGGCGTACGGCGATTGAAAATATAATTGTTTATCCGATTGAACACAATTATGATTTTCCAGATAACTGTCCTTCAGATTGCACTGATTGTGATCATTGGTTAGGACTGATAGTTGATAGGCTGAGCCCAGTAGTTGATCGTCTCGACAGTTAAACTGTTGGCTATGATGTCGTATGGATTGACTGTTATTATTGTAATTGTTTTGATTCATCAGCGACTGTGGCCTACGTTTGTTGACAACAATTAGTCCGACACATAGTATCACAGATAACACTATCACTGAACATATCACAGGTATAACTATAGTAATGCTATCGAAACCTAACGGCGGTTCCCTTTCGGACAGTGGAGATACGGTACCTATAAATATATATATATWTATATATTATTATTTTGTAAACTGTATGTATATGTAGTAACAATAACATTAATTCATTTACCTCCCTGAGCCGTAAGTGTGGCAAACTGATAGACTTGTTCAGTACTGCCGGCATCGTTGACTGCCCTAACAAATAGTGAATACCAATTACCCGCTTTGAGCGCCTGTATCTCCAGACTGGTCTCATCGGGCCAGAGATGTGCGTCCAGTTTATGCCATTCCGTCTCATATTTTGTTAGTTTGTATTTCAATTGAAACTCTTTGATCGGACAACCATTTGATAGCCATTCATCCAGTCGTATGACCGCTGATGTCGTGTTTACTATTATAAAATCATTCACCTGTTTGGGTACTGTCGGTGCTGTTTATTAAACAATTGATTTAAATATATATATAAATTATAACAAATATTTAATAATTTTATTTATTACAAAAAAAATTATTAATAAATTAATAATAGATTTTGAAAATACCTGATCCCTTAGTTTTAATAGCTATGGCATCGCTTGCGTCTCCCTTTCCGATAGCATTATAGGCCACTAAATAAAACTAATTAAAAATTTATTATTAATTAAAATATTATTAAATATTAAAATTAGATGTTATTTTTATCAATTAATTAATTTATTCAAAAAATATATTAATTATAATATTTATTTTTATATTAAATTAAAGTTTTATTAGTTTTCCGTTTTGAATAACTATAGCTTTTAATTGAGTATTTAATTTGATGATTATTAAATAACATTATGAATAATTAAATATAATTAATTTAAAATAGATATAATTATAAAACTTATTAATAACTATTGACTATCGCATTGAACAATAATTATAATGAATATATTATTATTAAATAATAAAGTAATTTTTTATTAATAAATTTAAGTTAAATAAAATAGATTAAAATGTAATACTATAAGGAAATTAATGACAAAAAAATTAATATTTGAAATAAATTTATTGTTTTAATCAATATATTTTTTTTGAAAAATCAATAATTGATATTTTGTATAATATAATAACTATTATTTTTATTATGCTGTTTATTAGTTGTTAATTTTTAATAGATATCTATATTATTATCAATTATTGTATCTTAATTTTTTATTGATTATTTATTTTTATTTATAATTATATAAAATTTTAATATAATATAAATAATAAAATATATAACATATGATTGAATACCTGATATAATGTTCCGCATAACAGATCATTACTCGTATAGGAATAGGTCTTCAAACGCAACTGTTTTTCAATCCATTGTTTTGAATGGCTTTTCCAGTATATGTAATAACCGGTGATTGTGTTCAACGAGTCATTATTATTGCCGATATTGTCGTCTAATCCCTGGTCGGGGAACTTCCACTCCATTTCAATCCAATCGTAACCGACATCACCGATGGTCAGTATGGGTGCTGTGGGTCTGTCCATTAACAGTGTCTGACCAATAATCTCCTCCGATTGCGGACCCGTCCCTTTGCTATCAATTTATTAGAAAAAAATAACGATTATTATTTGATAAAATAAAATATAATAATATTAATTATATGAAAAACAATTTTATAATTTATAAACTAATAGTTTATATAATTTTTAATAAAATATAATTTATTAGTAAAAAACTAGACTTTTATTTTATTTTTTTTTCTCATAACAAATTCAATAATAACTTTTTATGTAATATATCATATATGTTGTTGTTATTACTTATAGTTGAAAATTTTTTTTTATATCTATCAATAAAAATGACTAAAACATCAATATATATATATTTGTGTTTTATTTTTAAAAAATATAATATAATTAATAAATTAATTACTATTTATTTTAATAATATMAATTTATCAATTGAATAGTAAAAATATGTTTATCAGTTATTTATGTTTTATTGAGTTATAAAAAATAGTATTTTTATTATTTATAACATATTTTTGGTTGTTTTCTATTAGCAATGATTTAGTGAATTAGTTTAGTATCTATAGTATTGTACTCTCTATATGTGTGTTAATATAGTGACAAAAAAAAATATATATATATATAATAAACACATTTAATGTCAAAAACAATCAATGAGTTGGGAATTTTTTGATGGAAAATATTGCTTAACTTAATATTATTAATGTTTATACAGTTTATGTCAACAACAATACAAAATTTATATGAAAAAAAAATTTATAAATTGTTATATTTATTGAATAAATAAAAATATGTGACAAAAAAACGGTTTATAAATTTTTTTGTTGTTATTAGTTATAAAAAATAAGTAATGTATTTGTTTTTTTATTTCAACTAATTATTATTAATATATATCTAATTTTGTTAATATAATTAAAATTATAAATTATAAAACTTATTAATTGACATTAAAAAATTAAAATTTTTAATTAATTAAATTAACAATTAACGAAATTATAACTAAAATTATGACTATATTTAATTATTATAAAATTATATATGAAAACTGTAATATTTGGAAAAAACATTTTTTTAAATGTCATAAACTATTATAAATTATTTAATATTAGATCCTAAATATAAGTGGAAATATAAATTTTATTAATAAATATTTTTCTAAAAATAAATTTAATTGAAAGCAATTATTGCCCAAATAGTAAGTCAAATATATATATATATATATTTTATATATAATTATTTTTGTATCACAAATGTCTTACCCATTGAATGCCTGAACAACGACAGCATATTTAGTGTTTGGTTTGAGTGATGTTATGTTGACTTCGTTTCGTTGGTTTACAACACCCGACACATCACTAATCAATAACTTCTTAAACATATAGTTTGAGTCCAAAGAATCCAATGACTTATAACCCAAATAATAGCCAATAATGCGTCCATTTCTCGATTCAAGTGTCGGAGCCGTAAATGAGACGCCAAGGGATCGGGCACTCAATGGGAACACTTGGATGTGTTGGGGAGGACCTGACGGCTCTGATATATACACACACACACAAAAAAACACAACAAAAAATACTCATTTATATTATTCAGTAAATATATATATATATATATATCGTTAATGTAATTATCGATTACATTGTGTATGAATGCCATAGTTGTGTGAATAATATTAAAACTTATTATATAATAGACTACTACTACTACTAGTAGTAGTAGTAGTAGTAGTAGTAGTAGTAGTAGTAGTAGTAGTAGTAGTAGTAATATTCAGACAAATTATATGCAATTCATTAAACTTTCTTTTACTGTCTTATCAAAAAAAAATAAAATAAAATAAAACATTGAATAGAAAATGATATTTCAAAAGACTGTTAAAAATTAAAGATTATATAATATAAAAATTTTACATAAAAATGCATATAAAATTAATTTTTTTTTCAAAAATAAAATTTCTAATGAATAGGCTTAACAAATAAATTAGATAATAAAAATATTTTTATGTTTCTCTCTCTCTCAAAAATAAAATAATGAATTAAATTAATGAGTAAGTGATTCAATTGAATAGAAAATACATTTAATAAAAAATGCTTATTTAAAATGTAAGATATATTAGGATTAATAAACTTATTATAACTATAATTATAATGTGATATATGTTTAGCATTTTATATATGTTATAACAGTATATATATAAATATTAAAATTATTTAATGTATACAACATTTTTATAATATATAATATTTAGCAATTTGTATATAAATAAATCAATCAATAAATCAAAATCAATATTTATCTACAAAATTATACATACCTTCCTCAGTGGTAGTAAAGTGTATGTCTTCACTATAGGAACTGAAACCGCATTTGTTTTCCGCTCTCAACCGCACGTCATAACTGGTCACAGGTTTTAGTCCTCTAATAGTGAATGAAGTATCGCTTCCGGCAATGGTTTCAATCATTTTATCTGTCATTGATTGCCAGCTATTCACTGATGGCTTGTATTGTAATCGATAGGCCGTTATAATGGTGTTCCCAGAGTAGGGCTCTATCCATGACATGACTGCTGTACGGCTCGTAATCTCACTAATCATCACATTGTTTGGTATATCTGGTGACTCTGTTTTGACAGTTTTTTTTTATTGCATTTAGTTAATAGTATTATATATACAGTATTAAAGTATATGAGATTAGTATTATTTAATATAATTACTTGTAAAGTCAAACTAATAAGACAAAAATAAATTAAAATATAACAATCAAACTATTGTTTAAAAATAATTGTTAATCTAATTGCTAATAATTTTTTGAATAGTGTTTTAATTATTTATAATTTTACTGATAAATTGTTTAGCACTTGTTTGGCATCCCATTCCCACTATTGTTTTTAGTGACAAACTCAGTATGTATTTCAAAAAAGTTTAATGTCATTAATCAATACAATAGTTATACTAATAGAGTAGTAGTAGTAGTCTATTAAACATAATAACAATACAAATTAATTAACAAAATAATTAATTAATTGATTTTTTTTCACTAATAATAAACTCAATAGTTTTAATGATATCTCAATTTAGTGTTAATTATATAATACAACAATATCTATATAATAATAATAATAATAATAATAATAGTCTATACAAACCCTGAACAATGAGCTGATAGTTATATTCATCTCTTCCGTACTGATTGTATGCCAAACACGTGTACAATGAACTGTCCGCACGTGTCGTGTCTTTGATGTTTAATCGTATCAATAGACTATCGTTTGTCTCATTTCGTAACATTTGATATTTATTATTATTATTATTATAATTATGATTATTATTATTGTTATTAAGTTGTTTGACATCCAATGGCATCCCATCCTTAGTCAATGATATAGTGATGGGCTGTTCACCATATGATAGGCAATCTATCCAAACGGACTGTCCGTTTCTAACTGTTTGCGATTCAAACTTTGTCTTAAAGTAAGCGCCAACTGTTTAAAATAAAAATAAAATTATTATTGTTATATAATATTAATTTTTAAAAATAAATTTAAAAAAATAAAAAATAAATATAATTTCAATTATTTTTTATAGGTAAAGTATTTTATATTTTGAAAAATAATTTATTATAAAACTATAATACAATATATCATATATATATACAGTATAATATATATATGTAAAAAATAAGTTATTGTTGTGGTTTAATAAAACATTAGTTTAGTTAAACTATAAAATGTTTCATAAATTTATTCAAAAGCAAATCCTAAGAGTTTTTTTATATATAAAAGCCCTGAAAACCTAATGTAATTTATTTCAAATATTTATTTATTTATTTTTTTTTTGAGTATATTTATAATGCATATATCTTTTCTAGTAAATATCAATTGAAATAAATTATTGTACAAAAAAAAACAAATAATATTATTATTTTATGATTTATTATTTGAAATAAATTAATAAATAAAAAAAAGTACTCAACTCAATAAGTTTTTATTTTGATAAATTGTTTTATATAACAACAACAACAACAATAGAAAATAATATTATGATTACATACCGTGTACTTTAAGTGTAACCAATTTGCTGATACCGGTGCCCACACCGTTGTTGGCCTGACACAGATAGACACCCTCGTCATCGAGTTGGACATCATTGATGGCTAGACTGCCGTTGAACAGTGAATGCATGTGTGAGTTACTGATGATTGTCCGGAGCTGTCCCTCCCGGAGCTCCGATCGTTCCCACCAAACACGTGAGTGACCGCTTGAAACACAGTCCATCACTACTCGTTGGCCGACAATAGCTTCGGTATCTGACGGACTGATTATCCATTTGGGTGGCACTGAGAGTTGTGTTTTTTATAATAAAATATTATCAAAAATTATAACTAACTAATTATTCTAATAAAACTATTTTTTTTTTAAAATATAACAAATATATAGATTATAAATATTTAATCAAAATTTTTTGTGTGTCCAAACTAGTTATCTATAAGTAATATTCAATTAACATTTATCTATATTATATAATATAATTTTTTTATTACAGTTCTATAAATTATTAAAAACAATATTTTTTAAATATTAAATTAAAGTATTTAATAAATTATTTTTTACTGTTTAAACTATATATATATATATATATTGATAGAAATAAAAGGAGTAAATTTTAAATACAAAAAAAATTAAATTTATAATTATAGCTAAATATTATTTAGTACGAAAATATAATACTGGACATAGGTTTTTTTAAAAAAATAAAATTATTAAAACAATAAACAATAAATAACTAATCTAGTACATTAAGCAATTAATTTAATATGTTATAAAATTTCAATAATCATATTAAAAATAAATAATCATATTAAATAATACTATTAAATATTAATATTTTAATATTTTAAAATCTTATTAATCAAAATACTGTAATAAAAAAAACAAAATATAATTATATTTTTGTTTATAATCTGCAATATATCAAAATACTGTAGATTATTACCAACAATTATTTTTAAAAAATTTTTTGGTGTTTAGTTAGCTAATAAAAAAATTAAATAATTAATACAATAAATATATAGACAAACCTAAAACAGTTAGTATTGTCGAGTATGAAGTGTTGGCCACTCTATTGGACGCCAAACACGTGTAGTTACCGGAGTCGTCGGCCGTAACATTGGATATGAATAGTGTCGTCGAAAACATATTGTTTGACATCAACTTAATCCTATTGGCGGAAAACTTGTCGTCCCGTGTGGTCAACAATTGCCGTACGGGTACGTCATCTTTGAGAAACTCTATACTGAGTGGTGGATCGCCCTCAACGACAGCACAGGTAAGCAATTGACGCATACCTTCCCGGAGATTAGGCGACACCGAAAACGGTGCAATCACCGGGGCAACTAATACCTCAATGTAGACATCGCTGTGCGCCGAACTACCGGAGCTGCCGTTCACTAAACACCGGTACCAGTGCTCATCAGTATGACTGTCCATCAGTTCGACAACTAATGTACCGTTGGTTAGACTTTTTTGCCGATGATTTTGCGGCAATTTATGCCACTGTTGGTGTCCATCGTTTATAAACCATTGTATCGATTGTATGGGATGACCGTTTGCCGGACAATCAACTTGTAGTGATTGGCCGGCAATGACCGTAATGTTATGTATGAACTTTCGCACAAATACCGGTCCCCTAATCACTACTCGGTTGTAATGCAAGGCTTTAGTTATACCGTTAAATGCCAAACATTTATATCTAAAATTTTTTTGTGTGTAAATAATAATAATAATAATAAAGTATTAATTTTATTATACTAGTGTATATGTATTATATTTTTTTGATAAAATTTAAAATTTATATTTTTACAAATATTACACACTCATACAAACACACACACACACACATACATACATACATACATACATACATACATACATACATACATACATACATACATACATACATACATACATACATACATACATACATACATACATACATACATACACACACACACACACACACACATACATATATATATATATATATATATATATATATATACATACATACATACATACATACATACATACATACATACATACATACATACACACACACACACACAAACACAGACATACATACACACATACATACAACACACACACATACAAACATACACACATACATATTAATACATATTAATACATACACACACACACACACACACACACACACACATATATATATATATATATATATATATATATATATATATATATATATATATATATACACAATATCATTCAAACTGTAATAAAATGTTTTAATAATAATTGAATTGAATATATTAATTATTATATTAATTAATTAGACACAAAATCTAAAGACACTTTAATCAGTATTTTTATATTTTAGTAGCAATTATATACTAATTTTAATTATTATCATTTCATTAATAATTAATGAAAAATTGTTATAACTTATAAAGTAAAGTAAAAATATATGTCTAAATTAAATAAAAGTATTTTGAGCCTATTATAAATATAACAAACAATAATTATTGATTAAATTGATTTTTACATCATATTTTAAATAATTAAATAATAATCAAAAAATTTAATCATAAAATAGCAAATTCATAGCAAAAAAATTTAATTATTAAAATTAATTTATATTTATTTATTAATAACTATTATTTTTTTTGGATAAAATAATAATATGAAAAAAACAATCAATACATACAGTCCTCCGTCATCTGTGCGGACATTAGTTATATTGATATAACTGTTGACAACACTATCACTGCTAACATAGTCGCCGATACGTATTCGCCAGCTATCGGTAATGGGCTGTCCGTCGACCGTCCAAATGATTTGAGGCAACGGTAGACCTTTTGCCGAACATTTGAGCGATAGGTCGACGCCCGGCGACAGCGGTTCCATCGGTGGAAATGTATAGACAAAGTGCGGTCCGTCACTAATCACATGGATCTCAGCACTGGACGATCTACTCGACCAATCATTACTGACTATACATTGCTATTATTATAATAGAGAAAACAAAATTTTAAATAATTTTATTTTAACTAAAAAAATAATTTCTAATAATATCTAAAAGATAAATATTGAAAATAACAAATATTATTACATAAAAAATTCAATTAATTAAATACAGTTTCTCATTATATATCATAAATTATCATAATTTTCAATTATAATTAATTTCACTATTTCTATCTAATCTTAAAATAAATTAAACACTAATTGTAATATAATTTATATATTTTTAAAAAAAATATATATTTGAAAAATCTTTGTAAAAACTTTGTTAGTTTAAATGAAACTAAAAAAATATAATAAATTATATTAAATAGTTATACTTATAAAAAGTGTGTTTTTTAAAAAATTAATTATTAAATATATTAATATATATAGATAGATATAGACTACTACTGTTAAAAAATAATACTATTATAAAAGTTTATTGATAGTTAATACTTTATTTTTATTATTTTTTTAAAAATATATATATTTATGGATACAATAAAAAAATGCTATATTAGTTGCGGTTTTAGCATATTATAATAGGATTAGTTAGATTTACTTTATATATATATATATATATATACATATATATACTTACATACATAGCCTGATCTATGGCATCAATTTGTTTGATATGTAATGAACGATCATTATATAGTTTAATGCGATTATTATACACAATTGGTTTGCCATTCATTTTCCAGATCACATGGCCTACCGGTGCTCCGGTAATACTACAGTTAAGCTCAACTGAATCGCCCACTCCTACCATCAAATGCGATGGATTTATGCTAACACTTAGCGGTGCTTTTATTTTATTTTTTTTGTTGGTTGAGGTTATGGGTTATTACGGAAAAAATAAAAAATAAATACATTATAAATATAGTAAAGTAATATAAGTAACTATATATATATATACTGTATATACATTATAATGATATATTTTGTATTTTCAATTTTGAATTTATATATATATATATATATTTAATAGTATTTTATTTTTATATTAAATTGGCATTTATTTTATTAAAATAAAAAAATGGTTTACAATAAAAAAAAACATATAGAAAAATCATTTTTTGCTAACCTATTTGTATGTATTTTAATAAACAATTTATTTTAGCATAATCTATTATAAATTTAGTTAATTAAATTTAAAATGAAATAAACTAATTAAATTTAATTTTAATTAATCTTATTTAATAGCTAAACATTTAATAATAAACAACAAAATTATATTATATTTATAAATATATATTATATATGTTTACTACATGTTTGTCATATAAAGTATATGTGTGTTGAGTTATAAAATTAATTAAAAAAAACTATGTTTGAGATTTTATGCTTGAATAATTAAATTATTAATTAATATATATTAATTTTTAATTGAAAATATGTTGTTGTAATATATATAATATATAAAATGTTAAATTTTTTGGACATAACTGCAAACACATAAACACTTATAAACACTTATAACTCATAAATTTTATTTTTGAAGCGGAAAACCATTGATTAAGATATAATAAATTGTTAAATGATTTTTTCTTTGCTATAAATTATTTATATTTATATATATATATATAACTAAAATATAGTTTGCGAGTGTGTTTGATATATCATTTCTAAACTTCAAAAAAATAAAATAAATAAATTATTGATTAAAAATTATACATTTTTCTAACATTTTATATGAGAAATATATATATATATATTAAAACCCTTTGCAAACAATTGTTAATTTAGAGCATAGATCTTAATATGCAATATATATATAATACTGATTATTATTATTATTATGTGTGAAAATTAAAACATGTCATATATAAAGTATTAATGGATATATATATAAAAATTATTTAATTAAAAAATATATGTTTAATAAGCATAAAATAGGAAATATGTGCTGAAATTTATTTTTATAATTAAATTATTATTTTTTAAAAAATATTAAATATTAGTAGTAAATAGTAGTTTTTAAGAAACAATTTTTAGTCGATATAAAATTATATAATAAATATTGTATGAGTTTATTAGCAAATTATAGATAAATTATATATTGATAAATTAATTTTAATAATATTTATTTATTTTTTAAATTATAAAAAAATCTTATATGAAATATTGCATAACTAATATAATTATATTTGGTTTACATATTAGAAATAGTTTTAAAAACCAAGTTTTAGGAAAAATATATATTAAGAAAAATACAATAATTTTTAGTTATTAATGAAAATATCTTAAATTAATAGTTTCATTTAATTATATTTAATAATTTTTGTTTGATTATAATTTATAAAAATATACAAATAATTTCAATGACATACCTCTGACTATAAGCTGTGTATGACTGGTGTCCTGACCCACACTGTTATTACACACACAGACATACTTTGACGAGTCGTCCAATAAAACAGATTTTATAATAAGTGATGAATAGATTTGCGATAAACGAGTGGACAATGAATTGAATACAAATTTCTGGTCACTACTAGCTATGGCCGACAATCGGTCCAATAGTTGTGATTTATGATTAAACCGATACCAGACTACATGTGGTGGTGGATATCCCTGTGCACTACATAACAGTTCAACTGTTTGGCCGACAATGGCTGACACTTGTGTTAGACTTTTAGTAATTTTTGGCAACAAATTTGATTGTGACTCTAATATGTATGAGTAATAATAATAATAATAATTTTATGTTTATGTTTATTAGACTATATTATTAGTATTTGAAAATCTAATATCTTATAATTTAATATTTACTAAAATATTTTTTAACAAAAAAATCTATTTTACTATTTATCAATATATCCAAATTAATATTATTTAAAATTAAAATTATTATATACTGTAATTATAATAGTTGTAAGTTTTTAAAATAATATAATTTAATTGTTGTTTCTAACATATTATTTTTAAACAGATAAACTACGTATATATATATATATATATATGTATATATGTATACATATATACATGTATATATAAAGTAATTAATCTATTAATATGCTAAATAAATTGTTATAATATTATAAACAAATATTATGTTTACTTATGTAAAAACTAACTAAAATTTGATTTTAACTCTAAATGTATGAGTAATAATAATAATAATAATAATTACATGTATTATAAAATTTAATACTTTATAATTTATTATATTTAGGCATCAATAAGGTATATAACAAACATACAAAAAACAAAGCTATTAATCATCATTTATTATGATAATCTATAATAATTGATATTATATTAAACATATAAAACACTGATGATATAAATAAAAGTAATATAAAAAAATATGTTATCCGATAAAAATAATAAAATGACAGCAAATAATGTTATTATAAATGTTATTATTATTATTAGAAACTAATTAATTAACTAAATAATAAACTATTATATATATATGACGTGTGTTTGTTTTCATTAATTTTTTTTTCTATACAGTTATAATAATAATTAATAGTTTTGTTTAGTTTTTTTTTGCTTCAATTTATATTATATTATTACTAATACCTTATATAATAATAATAATAATAATAATTGTTTTTTTCAAAAATACCGGTAACTATAATACGTCCGGAATTGGCGCTGACTTTCACTTCATCGTTGAGTTTGTGTTTAGTCTGACATCGATATTGTCGGTGACTATCAGTGATGGCATCGACACTATGGATGACAAGTTCACCGGTAGATAACACACTAAATCGGCCGCCTATTGATGGATAATATAATTTTTAGTATAATTAGTAAAAATATACATAACTTATAAACTAAAATAATAATAACAATAAAATCAGTTATCAGACAAGTCTAATTATAAACATAATAATTATTAGTAATAAATTTAAAAAGTAATTTAAATTATTTATACAGTTATTACATATATATAATATATTTGTAAATTACTGTATTTTTTTCTTAAATACCGTTTTGAATATTTGAATGTATAGTTAGTCCATCATTTGTTAGCCAATTGGTAACCAAAACATAATCTCTTATAAATACAGGTATTATATCACATCTTAATATCTAATAAAAAAATACATTAATAATAATTAAAATTTTAGATAATTTTTTTTAAATAAAATTATATACAAATACAACTCAAAAACTTACGGCAGTATTGCCTTTAATAACAAACTCATCGTAAACTCGCACTTCATATGACTGTCTAATACCTAATAATAAAAAAAAAATATTTATAATTATTAAAATTATTACATTTGACTAACTATTAAATGAATAGCATATATTATATAATTACWAAAAATGATATTAATTTATTTTACTAAATACTTAGACTATAATTAGTTAAAAATAAAATTAATATTAGAAAAAAATTAATAAATAAATATATTTCCGGTTTATTTCTTAATAATTTCTATAAAAACTTTTATATCTATTTTACTTATCATAAAAACTATTATTTTATACCAAAAAATAAAATTATGTCTAACTTTTAAAACATCTATTAAACTGTATGTTATCTTAAATGTTATTTTAGTTTAATTACTATTTAAAAAAACAAATAATAAGTTTATAAGTTATAGTGAAATATAAATTTTTTAAAATATATTTATTCTATAAATTAAAAATATATTTTACATGTCTATAAAAAAATAAATTAATATTATATTTTTAAAATTAATTATTATTATCTAGTCTTAACAATAGTCTTAAAATACATTTAATGTTTATAAAAATATATTTAAATATTTTATTTATTGATTTTTCTTTTATAAACTCTCTCTCTCTCTCTCTCTCTCTCTCTCTCTCTCTCTTTCTCTCAATATATATATGAAAATAAGTAAAATTATATACATTATAAAAATATATAAAATATGTTAAAATACATTTTGACAATTGAACTCATCATTGATAGCATTGATATAAATTATTATTATCATCAATAATAATGCACTAATCTATATATAAATCTATACAAATAATATATATATATATATATTATTGATATCCAATAGGTTTCAATATGAAACAGCTGTCATTGAAAACATATTAATAACACAATTGTCTTAACAAACATTATCTGTATCTCTATTATCTAAATCATAAATAATATAAATTTTTTATTTAGAAATCTATATATTTAAAAGTATTATAAAATTATTCAAAAAATATTAAAAATTATTAAATTAAAACAACATTTTTAAAAAATAATATTAATAAATTATTTATCTATTTATAAAAACAATTTAAAACAATTATTTATATATAAAACAAATATAACACAATAATTTAATAATAGTGTAATAAAAAAAATTATATCAATATATATTGTTTATTGTTTTGCAAATATTTATTATAAACTATAATATTGAATAGTAATTTTTTTAAAAACAATATTTCACATAAAATAAAATTTGAATGTTTTCTAAGTTTTAATATTAAAATATATACATATATTCTGTAAAATTTAAATAATTTATTTAAAAATTTTCAATGCTTTTGTGTTTTGTTTGTTTAAAATTTTTATAATAATAATAAAATGCATTACTAATACAGTATATATTAATATATATACATAACTAATGTGTAATTGTGTGTTGTTTTTGTATTTAAGATTAAAATATTATTATTATTTAAATTAGAAATATTTATTATTTATATGGTTTTGTTAAAAGCATTTTATTGTTTAAAATTATTATTATTATTATTATTATTGTAATATTATTCATATCCAAATATTTAAATGATAAAAATTTATGTTTTTATTTATTTATAGTTATTTGAATGTCTAAAAAAAAATTTAAATATTTTTATTAATAAAAAAAACTAAAACATCATTTACACTAAAAACAGTTTATCTAATAATAAATACAACCAACAAACAAAAAAATGTTTTAATCAAATATATGTTAAATATAAGAAACTTTAAAAATCAATAAAAAAACAGTTAACAAAATGTATTTAATTTATTAAAAAACATATATATATATAATACCAGAATTAGTCTCATATAATTAAATATGTTATTATTGACTATTTATTTTTGTAAAAATTAATTATAAAAATATAAATTACACAAATATATTTATTATGTTGAATTTAATTTTTTAATTATAGACATCAAAAAAAATAAATAAATAACTAAATATGTAATTAAAGTTTAAACACATAAAAGTGTGTGAAAACAAATTACAAAAATAAATTTTATTAATTTTATTAATACTATTACAGATTTTTTTTTTGAATTGAGTTAAATATAATATTAATTACTAATAAAATAATTATTTAATAACCAAATAGTTTTAATATATTATAATTAACTATAGTTATCACTTGAAAATTGTTGTAGTATTTTACTATATATACTACTAATATTTATAATAATAATAATAATAATAATACAGTAATGTTTGATTGATTTTTGTGATTAATTATGATAAGCTAGTGATGACTAAATTATAGGGAAATTATTAGTTTTGAACGTAATATCTATTGTATTATAATATATATATATATATATTGACTGATGTATGACAACTACTTTTCATTGACATTCACTAAACAACAAATATATAGATAGATATATATAACTAATCATTAAAATTGATGAGACATTTAATAAATGATTTTCAACTGGAGTTAAGTCAAGTCAAGTCAAGTCAAGACATCAGATCAGATGAATGGGAATTCCAGACGTGAATAGCATTTTATACATCCCTTTCCTTGAAATCATCCCTTTCCCCCCCAGAAAACTATAGTATTATATATATATATATATATAAGTAATGAATTACTGTATCCTTAAATGTTAAATACCATTATTGCACTTTTTTCTCAATCTAATACATTATATCATATATTGTACTGTACATCATATACAGTATATACAATAAACTTTTATATGGGGTTTATATATTTAACTTATATAAGTAGTAGTGTATAATCAATGAGAGAGAGAGAGAGAAAAAAAAGTCAATTCATAGTAATTATATAACAATAAAGTATTATAAAGAAAATAAAGTATTTGTGATTTGTGTTCAGATATTAAATTACACACACATTAGACATATAAAAATTGCAATTAAATTAGTTTACAATTACTATACAGAAAAAAATGTTAAATACAGTATATATATATAAGAGTAGCAAAAATTTAATTAAATCTAAAATTCAGATAATAAAACATTTAATTATAAAACTTTAATTAACTTTACTTAAATTGTAATAAATAAGAACCTGTATTTAAATAACATAAAAATTTTATACAAATAAAATAAATTAATTGTAAAACATATTAATTATATATTTTTTGTATTAATGTATTCAATTTGATAGCAATTTTAAAAACTTATAAATCTTTAATAACTTGAAAAATATTTTTTTTATCAAATTTTGATTATTGTTACTAAAAAATAAGTTTACAAATATTATTTAAAACTTTACAAAAGTTATGATTTGTAATTTTGTAATAATAATAACTATTTTTTAAAAATCTGACAACTTATAAAAAAATTAATAAATAATAAGTTTAATAATTTATTTATTATTATTTTTTGTGGTTATAATATTATTTATAACTATAACTTTTTAAAATTAAATATATTTGAAATAAATTTTTTAATAGTAAGGTATTATTTATATATAATTTTTTAAAAATTTATTTTTGTATTATATTAATACATTAATAACACATTTATGACTATTAAAAAAATTATTGAATTTATTCAATAATATTATAATGTAATTTCATTTATTAATAAATTAACAGTAGTATATAACATATTTGTTATATAATTATAAACATATACAATATATACTATATATATATATATATATACTGTAATTTACTATAATTATTAGTACATTAATTATTGATTGTCATAAAAATTTTGACTGATATTTGTATTATAATTTATAAATAATGGTTAGTTTATAAAAAAAATAATAATACTTGCAATTATTATATTAAAAATATGGTCATTGAGTGAGAGAGAGAGAGAGAGAAAGAGAGAGAGAGAGGAAAAGAGAAAGAGAGAGGAAAAGAGAGAGAGAGAGAGATGAGAGAGAGAGAGAGAGAGAGAGAGAGAGAGAGAGAGAGAGAGAGAGAGAGAGAGAGAGAGAGAGAGAGAGAGAGAGAGAGAGAGGAAGAGAGAGAGAGAGAGGAAAAGAGAAAGAGAGAGGAAAAGAGAGAGAGAGAGAGAGAGAGAGAGAGAGAGAGAGAGAGAGAGAGAGAGAGAGAGAGAGAGAGAGAGAGAGAGAGAGAGAGAGAGAGAGAGAGAGAGAGAGAGAGAGAGAGAGAGAGAGAGAGAGAGAGAGAGAGAGGAAAAGAGAGAGAGAGAGAGAGAGAGAGAGAGAGAGAGAGAGAGAGAGAGATCAATAATAAATATACCGATAGATTAATGACATTCAAGTTGTCTGTACTCTCAATAAAAAAAACTAAACGCCGGCACAAAAAATATATAAACTTCAATGCAATAGATATATACAGTATATATATATATATATAAGTTATATATATATATATATATAGACTGTGAGAGTGTTAAACACACAGACAATGTGTTTGTTCGACCAAACGGTGCATCTATTGAGCGGAAAGACATTTTTTAGAGATCCCTGTCCTCTCATTATATGACAATATATATAAAGTATTTGATGTCTTTTAAGACACACATAAAGAAAGACTAGTGTAGTGTTGATGACAACCATTCAGAGCACATACACTATTGTATTGTATATATAGATATTATATTATACTACATATGATATATAAATTATATTTATTATTATTATTATTATTATTATATAATATAAGTATAACTGAATGACATTATTATACAATACAAGACATTAAAAAATTAATGGATTTAAAAATAATTACTATTTTTTTAGACATTAAATAATATGTTATATATTTATAGATTATTTAGTTTTTAAGTATTAATATAATATATTGTTAAGAAAATTTTATAATATAATTTCTAGTAATAAAAAAAATTACAATTGTAAGTGAAATAATAAATATATTTTTAAAATATATATATATAATCACATTAAATAATTTAATAATAATATGACTATAAATTTAATATTTTTACTAAACATTTATTTATTAAAAATATTAGGTGACAAACATAAGTATACAATATTTAACAAATAAGTTATGTATAGTATGTTTGCGAGTCATTAGGCATTTGCAACACAACAACAAAAAATCAAACATCAATTGGGAGAAAAAAAGATAGTTTTTTTTTTTGGTATATAAAAGGGAACGGTATGTGTAGTGTATGGTTCCAAATGACAGCCAGAGAACCAAAAAAAAAAAACGACATTCAATAGCTAGTATTCAACTCATACATACTGTACATACATATATATAGATACAAATCGTTAGATATTATTTTTTGTTTGTCTGTTTGATTGCATTTGAACTAAAAATATATGGATACATATGTTTAGATGAAAAAAATAAATAAATAATAGCAATGAGATATACAAATGTAGAAAAAATATAGAAATAGAAATTCAATTTCATTTCAGACATTCATTTCAAATATAATACAATATATATATTTAGACACAAAAAACGCAAATATTCTGTATATATATTTCAAATATATATATATATATATACAGTATTAGTAATACACAATATATATATATACAATATATAAGTTTGATATGCAATATATTTTGAATTAGTTTAATATATACTACTGTTATATAATAGAAATTGATTTAAATAACATACAAAAAAATAAAATAAAAATGTACTCAAATTAAGTTTCTCTATCTATTTGTGTGTTGCAAATCAATTGTGTAGTAGTTGACTATATTTATCAAAATGTTTGTTCAAATAAAATTTTATTCAATAGCTTATTATTATTATTATTATATGACATAAATATTACACTATGTATTTATTATCTACATTTTATTCAATAAATTGAATTGATATAGTATTTATATTATACATTATTATACTATATATTTACTGTATTTATCAACTAATCAATATCATAGTTATAATTAATTGTATAAAATTATTTTTTTTAATTTTGTTGCCTTAAAAAACTAGAAATTTATTTATTTTATTTTTTTGTAACAAATAAATAAACTCATAATAAAAAATATAGTGTATAATTAAATTAATTAATAAATTAATTAACTATTAGATATTGTAAGTGTTTATTAAAAAAAATTCATTAATAATTTATTTAAATAAATAAATTACTATTTCTATATATTTATTATTTTTCTATAAGTTTTTATTTTTTTTAACTAAAACTAGATATTTGACAAAAATGATAAATTAATAAAATAAAATAATAACAACAAAATCATAAAAGTTTAATATATAAAAAAAGACAAAAAACTAAATATAAGTTAGAAAACTATATGCAATTAATTGAAACAATAGTTGTATTATAATAATAACAGTAGTTTTGTGTGTGTATTGTTTTATTAGAGAAGTTTTTATATTAGTTGAGATTTTATATATATATATATTTATTTTTATCATTTACTACTAGTAGTACATACTCTATCTATCTATCTATCAATTGATTGGATAAACAACAACAACAACAATACAATAAAAACAAAAAAAAAGTTTGAGATTTTATTTTGAGTACAATTAGTTTTATGGCCATTAGGTATAAGTAGAGATGGGCAAATAGAAAGTTTCTAATAAATTTCCGTGAGAAAGTTTCTAGAAAGTTTCTCATGAATAAATTTCTATAGAAATTTAACTTTAATGTTATTCTATGGGATCCCCATATCTATAGTTATTGTAATACCAGTATTTTAATAACATATAATACTATACATATAATATCATACAGTATAGTATAGTACTATACAAAATGGGATACCTATATATAAAATAATTATAATTATTTAATAATAATCAGTTTTGTAAAATTTTATCCATTTTATTATATAAATCATAGTTTAATATAGTTTAATTAATTAATTTTTTATTTTAATTAATAATTAAAATAATAATAATAATATTTAATGAATTGTATATGATAGCAAATATCGAGATAACAAAATTAACCATGGGGATCCCATAGATAGAAATTTCTTTTAGAAACTTTCTAGAAATTTCTCTATTATTTTATAAATTTCTCTTTTTTGCCAACACTAGGTATAAGAGAGAGAGAGAGAGAGAGAGAGAGAGAGAGAGAGAGAGAGAGAGAGAGAGAGAGAGAGTAAAAACAATATTACAAATTGATTGTTACAATTGATAGCTAGACTTATATAATAATATTAATAGTATAACATAAAAATTATTATTTTTTTAGTCATGAAATAGAAAGCAATTATAACTTTTTATTTTATTTATATATAAAGTAATACTAATAAAGAAAATAGTGATAAAATTTATTTAGAGATTAGTTTATATGTGATAAAACATTGATGTTTTTTTAATGATAAATCAATTAAATTAAAATTATATAAATACTATTAATTGGTATTGTGTTTGTATTTTATATATATATATAAAATATTATAAATTTAAAACTAAATTATTTAATAAATAAATAAAAATTAATTTCAATGACTTACTGGCTCTGATTTGACAGTCAGTGCTCTCAATAGTACCGACACTATTGACGGCAACACATCGTATGGATGACCAGTGTATGTCCTGTTGGTAGTCGTGAGCGGCAAACGGCATATAAACTACTTGACTAGTAGTTTGGCCGTCAATAGTGAGCACCTGTACTATGCTATCCCTGTTGACTAATGGCGAGCCATCGGATTTAATCCAATGGATTTTCGGATCAGGATTTCCTATTTAGTTAATTATGTTATAAAAATACAATTAATTAATTATATATTTAGTGTAAAAAACTATGTATTATATATATATATCTAAATAAATACTAGACTCTAATTAATTGCACAGTTAGTTAAAAAAAAATGTTTATACTGTTTATAATTATAGTTTGTTTAATTTATTTTAAGTATTAATATTATTTACTATGGTTTTAAAAATTAATAAATACAATGATATATTAATATAAATAGAAAATACATTATTAGTTATTATTTGATTATTTAATATTAAAAATTAAACTCAAGTATCATTATATATTCAGAAAATTTATGTTTAAAATTAATATTAATTATTTTTAAAAAATAGTATATTAGTTTAATTGTATTTTTTAACTTTAACAATTATTATATATATTTAGTGTAAAAACATTCAATCAGATAATAGTGTAAATAATAAAAAAAAACTATGTATAATAAATATAAATACTAGACTCTAATTAATTGCACAGTTAGTTAAAAAAATGTTTATACTGTTTATAATTATAGTTTGTTTAATTTTTTTATAAAAAGTATTAATAATATTTATTAAAGTTTTAAAAATTATTAAATATAAGTATCATATTTATATATATGACAGACAATACATTATTTAGTCATTAATTGATTATTAATATCAAAAGTATCATTAGTTAGAAATTTAGAAAATTAATGTTAAAAATTAATATTAATTATTTTTTTTCAAATAGTATATTAGTTTAATTGTATTTTTACAACTTTACAAAAATACAATTAAGTTTATATATATAAAAAAAATAAATAATAATCAATATTTATTTTATAATCAAATAAAGTATTAGTATTAAATCAATATATACAGTAGAGACTAATATTAAATACACAAACAATATATATTAGAATAATATATTATATATAAAAATAAGAAATAAACATAAAAGTAATTTAATTTTATATATACTATATATATAGAGTATAATTGAAGTCAATATAGAAAATATTAGTTCACATTTGGTTTTTGTTTTTATCTAAGATAACAATATTATGGATATTAAGAATATTCTGATATTATATATACTTAATATAATATATATATATATATATACAAAAATAAATGGATTTATTTTTTTTTGTTGGGAACCAAACAAAAATAAATAGCAAATAAATAAAATGCTATTTTATTTATTTGCTATTTATTTATTCAGTCAGTCAACCGTTTCATTGGGTAAAACCACTACCAGAAAAAAATACTACTATTGTTTCTAATATATACTGTATATATAGTAGTATACAACTGTCCAAAACACATACCAGTTCTCTCATTCAACACACACACACTTATATAGTATAAGTCAGTCACACATTCACTCACTCACTCACTCACTCACTCACTCTATGTCTCCGATAGTATAGACACAAAAAAAACATTTTGAAATAAATAAATAAGAATTGATTTTATTATTACTACTATTATTATAATAGACTTGTCTTTTCTATATATTTGAACTGTAAATCCATTTACAGTTTTTTTTATATATATATATATTTTAGTTTTAGTTTTTAGTTTATTTCATACGTGTTTTGAGTTGATATGCATTTCAGATTCAAACATTTTTTTGTACATTTTATATATATATATATATATATATATTTAAACTAAATATTAGAATAATTTTGTTTAACTTATAGTTTATATGTAGTATTTTACATATAAAATATATATAAGATATCTGAGATAATTTTTTTTCATATATATATTTTATTACACTTTAGTTAACAATAAACTATTGTTTATGTGGTTTGTATGTAAAACTAGATTTGATTTTTTTTTTGGTTAAATATAAATATTATAAATTCAATATATATGTAATAAAAATCATAATGATTGCTAAATTGTTTGCCAATTTTTTTTGTTGTTGTATAAATAGAAAACAATATTAATATATAACTAATATTTATTATATTATATATTTAATATGTAAATATTGTATTTAGTTTCAAATATGTTAAGCACAAACATAATAAAATTTTACACTTTATAAATATGATATTTAATTATATATATATGGTATGAATTTAATTAATATTATTATTTTGTTTATTTAAAAAAATACTATAAAAGTTTATAAATATATAAAATATTTAATTAACATTTTATGTTTGTTTGTTTATTTACAAAGCTATTGGACTATAATATATATACAACTAAATTAGCATAATTTTTATGATTTTATTTCCCTATATTTATTTACACAATAAAAAATAATACAAAATTTTTATTATTATAAATGAAAATATAACAGATGATGATATAAAATATTTTCAAATAATTTAAAAAATACCAAAAAAGTTATACATATAAATATATATATAAAATCAAAAAATATTTTATACATGTATTTAAAATATTTATGATATTTTAATATTACTTTTTTTCAGTCGACTAACAGAATATTCCGTAAAAAATATATATATAAAAGAAATACAGAATAAAACTCAAAAATGATTTTTTTTCTACAAAAAAAAATATTTTTTATTCAAAAAAAATTGTATAAATTTTTTAATATGAAAAGTTTTGCTACAAATTTTTTCTTTTAAATAGATAAAGTTTTATTTTATTTTTTTGGTTATTCAATAACCGTATATTTTGTGAATGTGTGTGAATAATAAAAAAAATTGTTAAAAATATTTTATTGATGTACATTTGTATATATATATAATATGAGTATATATATATATGAGTATAGAAAAGTGGATACTAAAAAATTTGTATTTTATTATTATTATTATTATATATATATTTTGTTATTATAAAGTTCACGATATAATACTGTATATACAGTATATATATATATATATATATAAATTTATATTTAGCAAAATGAATGTACTTTTTTTAATGGATAGTACAAAATAATTACTGTATTATATAAATAATATACAGTATATATATATATATATATATAGTTTTTAATTGGTATTACTAATACACAATCACTCAACACATCGAAAAAAAACACAATTGACTTAATAAGAGTTAATAACAAACAACTATTAATAGTAAATATTAATTAATTACTATTTTTGTGTAATTTATAAATTTAAAAATTATTTATAATAATTACTACAAACCTTTAGCACTGCATGTAATGACAGTACGGGTGTCGTTGAGAAACTCAACCCTATTGTTGGGTTCAATCAAAAACTGTGGACCCCTTAGCTCTAGTGATGCAATCGATTAATATACAGAAAAAATAATAACAATAATTAAAATTTAATAAATATTATACAATTATAAATACAACTAAATTATTAAATTGTAAAATAAATTAAAAAAAACTATATTTAACAATAATTGAAAATATTTAATTGTCAGTTTAGTATAAGCTATTATAAAAAAACACATAAAATTATTTATAATAATATATTAAATAATATTTTTATTTGATACTGTTTAAATTTAAATTTATAMAAAAATTTAATTTATAATATGTATTTTCTAGCTTTTTATAAAACAAAAATATTTGTGATAGAAAATAGTAGTTTAAGATTTTATAATAATTTTTTTTAACAATAAATATTAAATATAATAAACATTTACTAGAAGTTAATAGAAAATACTAATTATACTAAAATCCCATTTAATAATTAGTATACAATCGTTGTTAATAATAATAATTATAATAATTACTGTATTAATGTTTATTTTATTTATGATTTAATTTTTGTTTTAAAATTATTTTTGAAAAATATTATCAAACTATAAATATATTTCATTCAGCAGTTTTTTACTGTAATAATATTTTAATTACATTTATTAGTTTAAATTAATAAAAAAAATAATTTCTAAATTTCATAAATAAATGCAACTATTATTTAAATTTTATTAAATTTTTTTATTATTGAAAACAATTGAAATATAATTGAAAATTATTTTAATCTCACTTTTTTTTATATATATATATATAATATAAAAAATTTTGTTCAGAAAAAAACGCAAACTTTTTTATTAATATATATATATATATAAAGTTTTTTTTTGTTTTGCAATATATCTAATATAACTGTTAAACTGGAGGGCATTTTTCGTTTCAATTTAAACTGTTTTGCAAAACACAGCAAATATTATATATATATATATATATATATATATATAATATACGACTTGAATTGTGTTTACATTTGGCTTATAATAATAATGTTGTTTTTTTCATGAGTAAAGTAAAATAAAAAATAAATATAAAAAAAACTAGAGATAAAAAACTTATTTCTCATTTAAAAACTCTAAACAAGAAAAATACATCGACTAAACAAACATTACATTTATTTATGTATATATATATATATATATGTATACAAACATTGTATATATAATATATATATATTTATATACTATATTTGTATAGTAAGATATTGAGATATATTGTGCTAATAAAGTGCTTAAATAAGTGCTATATTTTTTTCTGGGAGAAAAATTTGTGGTCAAAAAGCATAAGTGATTATTCAATAGATTTTTATTTATTATCGTAATTATTAAAACAAATACTCTCTCTCTCTCTCTCTCTCTCTCTCTCTCTATATATATATATATATATATATATATATATATATATATATATAAATACTATACATATCTACAAAAAAATATATTATAGTTTTATTGCTAATTAAAGTAAACTATTAATGAAAATTAATTAGACATTTTTTTGGGTGAAAAAATATATAATAATAATAAATTTGTCATTTAATACAAATAGTTATAATAATAATAATAATAATACTATTTTTGTAGTTTTCAATATATAATATGTTATTTTTCATGAATTATATTTAACTTAATAATAAAATAATAATAATTTTAGTATGCAAAAAAATATATATATTGTTGCTAAAATAAATTACCATGAACATTTATTATGACAAAAATGATTAAAATCCTATTTAGAGTATAAAACCAGTAAAATCTATTATTAGATTAACTATTATTTATTACATAAAATTATTATTTATATATATATATTTTTTTTGTTAAATTTGATTAGTAGTAGTAATATTCAGTAAATATTTAGTGTAATATCTTAATAAATACTATATATATATATTTAATACATACAATACTATACATAATATAATTATTATATTATATAAAAATTATGTTAACCACTCATTTATCCCCATATTATTAATCATCAGATGTTTTGTCATATTTTTATATTATATATATATATAACATAAATATAATACATAATCAGATTAGCCATTTATATATGTTGTTTTTTTAATAATAATAATAATAATAATATTTATTATTTTGAGTACTAACTTATAAAAACAAACAAACAAAAAATAATAATCCTTAATATAAATTTATGTTATAAATAATATTTATTTATTTTTTGTGTTATTAAAAACCTATTAATATAATATAATCAATAGTCTAAGCTTAATGATGTATTTATTTATTAGTATTATTATTATTATCGAAATAAATAATAAATTATTAAATAAACTATAAAAAAAAATTTAATCAATGATTACCTGATAAATGTTGACTAGAAATATATGATGATAAATATAATATAAACAATAATCCAATAATTATGGTTAACATAATAATAATAATTAAATTTTTTATTTAATTATATAAATAAATAAATAAAAAATTAAACAAAAAAAAACATAAACACTTCAAGTTAATTATGAAAACATTGAAAAACATGGAAAACAAAAATTTAATTATTAATACACATAATAAATATTTATAATTATCCAAAATGTTTTATATATGTTTAATTATTTGTTGTTGTTGTTTTTGTTGTTGTTGGTATTCAATACAATCATATAATTAAGTTTATAATAAAATTACTAAAACAACAACAACAACAATAAAACTTTTATTTTGTGCGGTTAATCACAAACAATGTATAAACACAATAAAAACATTAGCGATTTTTTTTGGTGGTGGTTAAACAAATTTTTATCATTTAATCAATTAATCAGTCATTCAATGAAATAGGTATTTAGTAGTAGTAGTAGTAGTAGTAGTAGTAGTAGTAGTAGTGATAGTTAGATAATTGTTATAAATTTTTTAAAAAATACAATACTATTTTATGTTTGTATTATTGGGAAAGTTATAGTATTTCAATATAATAGTAATCCATGTGATGGCAATTGATAATACATTTTTTTTTGTATTATATTATTAGTAGTAAATATTATTCAACATTATTACTAATTGAAGTACTGGTACATCACTGAACAACTAACTGTTTGTTTAATAATTAAAAAAAAAACTTTGAAAATAAAATCTCCCAAAAAAAAAGTATTTTCCAAAAACATTGGTTCATCGATAGTAATACTTATGTAATAGTAATTTGAATGAATGAGTGAACTGACTGTTCACTGGGTATGGTATGGTATGACTGACTAGTAGTAGTAGTAGTAGTAGTAGTAGTGATGCCTTTGGAGAGCACCGACACATTGAATAGTATGGTTCTGTAAGGAAACTGTGGTACTATTATTAGAGGCACTTCCTATACAGCTATTATACTATATATATATATATATATTGAGCACCGACTCAGTTATCATCACCACTGATAGTAATCAATAAGTTTTGTGTTATGTAATCATTGAATTTATTATAGATTTTTAATGTCTTATTGTATGAATTTTATGGAAAATCTATATATAATAATAATAATAATAAAATATTTTAGTTTTATTTATTATAAATTAAATTTATGTTATATATATATATTAATTAAAAAATTAGTATAAAATTTTTTAGGCTTAATATTTACTGTATTATTAAACACTTATTATCAAAAATATTATTTTAAGTAAATTAACTGTAAATACAAAATGTTTAAAATTAATGTTTTTTAAATAATATATTAATAATATTTAAATATTTAATTTTTTTCTATTATAAATAAAACTTATTTTAATATATTCTATATTTAATTTTAAAAAATAATTATAAAAATTGTTAGTATTTATATATATATTTTAAAAACTTATTATCAAATACTATTAAGTATTAAGTAAATTAACTGCAAATATAAAGTTTAAAAAATAGTGTGTTTTCTAAAAATATATATATATTTATAATATTTAAATACTTTTTTAAAAGTATATATTCAACTATACATTAATGCAAATGTATTTTCAATGTTATTGTCAAACACTCAGTCAGTCAATCATTCATTCAAAAAAATAATAGCACAAAAAAACACAATCACTCACTCATTCACTCGCCTCCCGGTTCTCTTAACACATTACACACATCACTCAAACACATACACACACTTAAAGCACCGGTAGTTTATGGGCACTTAAAAAAACTTATTGGCTATAGTTGTTATAGTACTAACACATACATACAGACACAGACACACACACATACACATACATACATACACAAACACACACATACACATACATACATATATACACACACATACACACACAAACACACACATACACACACATACACATACATACATATATACACACACATACACACACAAACACACACATACACATACATACATACATACATATATACACACACAAATACATACATACACACACATACACACTATACATACACACACACACTCACACACATAGAGAGAGAGAGAGAGAGAGAGAGAGAGAGATAAAATGCACAGAAAAATAGCATTCAATGAGATGTAAGAATGGATGAAAACAATAGATTTATATATATTTTTGTCACAATTTTTTTTTGCAAAAAAAAACATTACAATATATCTGAAACATTTCATGTCATTATGATTTTTTTTAAACAAAAAAAATTTATATATAAAATATTTTTACAAGTTTTCAAGTTTTGCACATAAAATATTTAAAATCTATATAAAAATACTATTATATATTTTTTTTAGGTAACCGTTAAAATCTCATTGATTGCTCAGTTAGTATCAAACCATTATATATTATATACAGTAGTATATAATATGTCTTAACACACAAAACGGCAAAAAATAAAATTATTTTTATCACACAAAAAAATGTTGTTATATTAAAAAGTCTATGTCTTATATTAGAAACATATATAATATACAGTAATAATAACAATAATAATAATAAACATTAAGACCACATAAATACGTAAAATAAATATAACTATAACTAACTGTATTTAGACACACATATTGTATAATAAGTACAGGCATTCAATGACCAGAGAAA